AGGTAGTGTGAGGGAGGTTTGAATAAACTGATTAGTCGTGTACACAGAACTGGCAGTGAGGAATAAAAACTTGCGCAATTCTAGTCGGTTTTAAGCATCTACTCTTTTCACTTGTATGTTAAATCGAACATAAGGCAAGCAATAGTCATTTCGCCGCTGAACATAGCCAACTTTATTCACTCAGCTTACTGTAGCGTAACTGAAAGAGTTCACCGATAGTCTTTCATCCAAATGATCAGTGCTGTATTTATTGGTCTGGTAGGTCAAACCAAATGAGTAATTGTGAGTACAGCTTCACGTTCAAAACAAAACAAGACAGGATGAAGCTGCGGAATAAAGGATTAAGTGCCCATAAGGAGATGGTCGATGAAGAAAAAACGCTCTTTCATTGACTTTCGACCTTTCACTGGCGTATTCATCTTGCAAAATATTGGGCCAAGTTTCATAAATCAACATCAGTCGCAGCATGTCATATACAGCCTAACTCTTTATATTTACTTTTAACCTTTGAGTGCCTCAAGCTAAGGTATTCACAATGCCATTTGATCCTGGGTTCGTTTTGAGCCACACCTCAAGGAGATAAAAGGCCCCGTGTACAGAGGAAGTAGTGCCCATATTCTTCAGCAATTACATCTTTACATCCCGAGCAGTTTCACCAACTCCGTTTGGTACAGGTGTTTTCACCGGGTACTCAAGAATTTGGAAGCCACTGTCTTTAGACCAGATTTGATTTGAATTGCTCACAATCCCTTCAAAAAACACAACTTTCCTTCTATTAAAGACGCTCATTGGTGCGTCATCCGTTTTCGTGGGAGTTACTGCAAACAGATGTTGGGCACTGGGGGCAATTGGAAAAATCTTCCTTCGTCGTGGGTAAATAGGACCTGGGGTTGCATGCTTTTTGGATGGATATTTTGATAACAAGCAAAAGGAAAATGGCAAGTCTACTTAGGTGCCACGATACTCGACTTTGTTCTTTTTGTGATACGAATAAAGAGAGAGCAGTTTGTAAACTAGTCACTAGTAATCAAAGAGATGATAGCTGTATGACAAACAACTGGTGGGTAATTTGATCAGGATTACATGCATTGGTGTTACTGATTTGCTGAGGCTTGTTCCACACACACACACACACAAAGGCACATGCACCTAGCAGTTATTAGTATGGGAATACAGCTCATAACCAGGCTCAATTGTCACCCGTCAAGGCTAGGTCTGTTTTTTTTTTCAGGAAAGGACGTCCGAACGGCAGTATTAAGTCTGTTGTTCCATTTTCGTATCAGCTATCTGGTTGATTAAAGCAACTGATTTCAACCAACTCAAGAATTTGCAAAAAACGCAAAAAGAGTAAAGGGAAGCGAACCTGTAATATGAATTTTCTTATGATTATCATGCTTTACTGGCATTCAGGTGAAATACTGACATGTTCATTCACAATTAGGGAAGACTGCAAGCAAACAGTGGACCTGGGCCAAAAAATGCAGTTAGTGGGAGTTGTAGCCACTCTTTCGCCACTTTCGCTAGATCACGAGATCTCTTTTTTACACTCACAAATCACGCCACAGAATCGTAACTAACTTGACTACACAGCTCACAGCCAAGCCCTTGATCTCAAGACTCGCCTTTCTTTCCCTCCACGTCGACACGCAAGGGTGACTCAATTTGACATCGCTGTCAACCGACTGATAAGTTAGCAACAAGTCATACGCGGACACCTCCCCCCCACACACACACACGAACGCTCCTACATATAGGATAGCAGCACAGCAACACAGTACATTTCAACAGAGCTACGCACGTCGCCAAACTCGGAGCAGAGCCACCCAGGACTTGCGGCGTTTCAATCACGGATATTCAGGAATACTTGTGGCTGCTACAACAGCGAAGCCTGCATCCGGACTTGCAACAGGATTTATCAACCTGCATCTGCAATACGATAAGTCCCTTGTTCGCATATACACCTGTTGTAATAATTTTGCTCAACAAGCTGACATTGTTAGTGCTTCCCGTTTTCTCATTCATATGACTAATTTTCGGGTTCTAGTAGAGCATTAACAGAGATGTCTTGATCTTCCGCATATTAATCTAGGGAACTGAGGTGGCAAGGTGGTCAACTAAAATTGCTTGCGGTTACAGTCAGTCAACATAAATTGGATAACAAATGCCCGATCAGCTTGACAAAAAAGTCACTGGGACAAGGCCATTTAGCTTTTACTATGGCGGAAGACGAAATTGATCGGTTGAAACCAACCTTTTTTCAAAGGTTTAAAGAAGCCATTTAGTTTCGCAGTCCTAGCCCGGTCTACATCTAGAAGTTTGTCTAGCTGTCTTGGAATCGTTCTTAGGGTGATTGAACTGATCATAAACTTCGCCTCACTTGACGTGCTATGCGTTACTCATCCGGTGTATGTAATACGTGGATTCAGGCGGGTGCGTTAGCTCTCACATCCCTGGATGTGCAATCTGCTCAGATGGCTGTTGATGCGTTCGCCGAGTCTTTGCACACATTCATGGAGGAGCTGTAGCTGTTATCATATGGAAGCTTGACAGCAGGCGAATGTCTACGGTCTGTTTTGAACGTGAAACGCCAGAATTTGTAGCTCATGTGTCGAGCTGTTGGTAGCTCGGGCGTGTTCACTGGTCAGATGGTCGTGGATCAACGATAATCAGGCCAACCACCAGTAAACACCAGTGAACTACCAATAATTCAACACATGTTCAAGCTGTATCCTGTTAAATTTGATCCAGCGGGATCACGACTTATGACAAATTATGCGAGGTAATATACGATTTTCCGTCTTTCGATGTCGTCACCATGACTGAATTTTGGATCCCCCCAGGCACGTAATGATCTCAGCAACCAATGAAACAAGCGGTCCAGAGGGTTACTGTGTACTTGGCACTCGTAATTACAAACAGTCGCTAAACTAGCCTTTTCGGTTGGGTAAAGTCACTGAACGACCTGACTAGATCATTTTATGGAACTCATTCCACTTTCAACCGATGCCTAATAGAAGCCATTACTTTCACATTAACCTTAGATCGAATGGGATTGATCGTGCAAGTATTTGCTCGCGAAAGCGTCGATGACTTTCACTTGATAGACAATAAACCAGTATTGGTTAGAAAAATATCTTTCCGCATATAAATCTGTGTAAGCAGAATGAGAAAACGTGCTCTCTGTTGGTAGTCCGACCGAACGATTTTTCTCCAGTCGCGACAGTGTTGTTGGTTTTTCTCAGGGTAGATATATTTTATCCTACAACACAATGGTAAATATACTTTCAAAGAGAACTACCGAAGTGAAGCAGGGATCCAAGTGATGACGAATGAGAGTGCATAAACATCTTTTTCAGGATAAATCACACGAGCTACATACTAGGGTGGATGGGAATAACTACCACCTGAGCAAACGACGATTAGCGCAAACTTTACTGTCCTTCGTATGATGAGACGCTGGTGAGCGTTTTACATAATGCGTCCCGCCTTCCCTCAGTGGGTGACAAAACTGAACTGTTTTCCTGAAATCTATGGAAAATCCTATGCGAATTTACTATTGTTTCGCGCTTTCTGGATCTTCACCCAATTGCAATGCATGTATCATACCTATAGACTGAGCCCTTCATTTAAGCCCTTCGCTACTCACAGCTGAGCGGCACAGTGGCCTAAAAGCCGAACTCACACATCAGGTCGGGCTATGATTGGATATTGCCAGCCCACAGCCAATCTTATTTCTGTAAATGCTGAAAACCAGCCGTCGATTTCGCTTCCAGCAGACGTCTGCACCTTTAGAATGGTATCGAGCTTGAGGACACTGGAACCTCTATAGTCCTTTCAGTATTCGAGCCTTTGATGATCAAATGTTTATGACAAAAGTGAAGGAAACGCCATTTACAGCACAGATCTGGGATGCGTGTTGTAACGTTTGGTATTGGGAGTACCCTTCATTGGCAATGTGCCAAGCCACCGGCGCTACCATGTTTGATTGACATAACAGCCTCATTAGCGCATTTAAAAAGACGATCCTTATGGGGCAGTTCAGTTTTAGATGACAACCTGCCAGCTTGTTACTGCAGTTTTGTACTTCCTCGTTGTCAATACTCGTCCAGACATGAAAAAGGCACATGTGCAGAAAATGCCGCATCCCCAAGGTCGTTATCGCTACCACACATTCAGGATAGCAGGTGAGTTGTTAGAGCCCACCAAACAAGGTTGGCAACATACGACCAGTGGAGTGGGGCTGCAGTTGTTCACGGCCCGAACACCCCCATTTGGCTGCACAGAACGAACAAATGAACGACCATATTTGGCCCTGTAGTCATCCTATATATTTACGCAGAACCTCTGTATGTTTTGTCCTGACAACACAGCTATGTCCAGGGTTCCCTGTATTCCCCTCATCGCGTAGTCTGGCGGGCTCAGTGCAGCCGAACCAATAGACGGCCACCCACGATACAACACTGGTGCCAGTTGAGTTTCCCGGGCGATTTCAAGTTGCCAGACAAGCCAAGATGATCCTATAAGTTTCCGCGAAGATTTCGTATTGTCCAAGGGCTTATCCCAAAGCAAGCACACAATCACACTACTCTTCGGGCTTGCATTTTCCACGCGTCATTTGTATCAAGTCGCCATAGAACTAGGATTTTGTCGTGAACGGTACATTATTTGGACTGATGACTCCAGAAATACGGGAGGATAAGACGTTGATGTCGTACGACTCAAAAACGCATTACTGATACACTGGTGTTAAACAGCTTTCCTTATTCTAAAGATGTGGCAAGGGTATGCTAAAGAACAAAGCCACTCCTTTCAGAAATACAGTTGCTGCACCGCCTAAGGGGAAATAAACAGTTTGAATGGTCGCTTTTGTCATTACATCCGACACTATTCGTCAACTTTCGAATTGGCAGCGGGCAGAAGAACAGTCATTTGGGTACTTCTTTGAAAAGAGAGCAGATCTATCGGTGACTGTATCAAAATTAGTAAATTGTGCACCTTACCAGCCAACAATCCAGAAATCAATGTTCCAAACACTGGAGTTTTGAAGCGCTTGCTGATTCTGCCGAAGAACCGGAAAAGCAACCCATCTGACGACATGGCGTAGAGTATTCGCGGGAGTGGAAAAATCGATCCCATTAAACTATAGAAAGGCAGGGATGAATAAAATATCACGTGCGTAATGCATCTTTATTGGTCACGCATTAAGGCACGTCTGACGAAAATCCTAGTAAGTTTAAGAATAGGCTATCTGCGAATTTTCCGCGATTGTTCCATACCACTTATGTCAAACAAAGGAATCTTGGCTGTATGTCTTTGCGACGGAATCTCGAAATAGCCCGAGCAACCGAGCGGCAGTATATTATCGAGTGTAGGTTACATCATCCAAAATCAAATTCCAGCATTTCTAAAATGCATATGAGCCTGAAACGAGGTTGACAACCCTCCGAAACTTCACCTGAAAGTACTTCGAATTTTGTATCCTTTGCGTTGATGTATCATGGAGTGACTGAAATGGATCACTCTAGAATCGCAAAGGAGAGGTTACACTCAGGCTGAACTGCAATTTTAGAATCCTTAAGTTTATAAAACTTTCTGAAATTCCAGTCAAACTAGCGTCGGAATCTACATGGGTCATAAATTGCGTTCGTAGCTGTGGGACACTTCGCACGAACGCCTACATATTAAGTGTCAAGTGCACCAGGCTGCTAATAGTTTTGGCGCATTAAATAACTTAGGTGAGATGACTAGTTCATAATTTCCGAATTCTCTGGCTTGTCAAATTTAGTACAGACATTTTATTCACATTACTGAGAGAAGTACCTTGTTGTCAGCGCACAAACAGCACCCACAGCAATCACGTAGCGAGCCACACTCCACCCGACCCGTTCAAAAGCATACGGAAGCGGAGCATTTGCTGGTATTGCGTAGTAGGGTATCATCAATGTGAGCACCGCAGACACCGATGCGTAAGCGACAAAGCACACGGACAGACAAACGATGATTGCGATTGGAATGGCTCGTTGTGGATTTCGCACTTCTTCACCTGAGAAAAAAGTAGATAAATCCAACCTGTGACCGTCAAAAGTTGAACAATGAGTAATCAGCTGTGGTAGGAGTAAAGAAATCCATTTGTAAAAGGCTATTGTCTACGCTACTTGAGCGGTTGCTAAAAACTCTTCGACAGGCCACGACCAATTTCACAGATGGGAAATTCTGTTGATTGTCTACGTGAGCGGTTGCTAAAAACTCTTCGACAGGCCACGACCAATTTCACAGATGGGAAATTCTGTTGTGTTTCCCGCTAAAATCAAACCAGTTTGCAGATGGGTGTATTTGGCGAGTTGCATCCAATATGGTCCAAGTAGAACACATAGTTAATGGAAACTAGGGGATATGAATAGTCCAAAGAAGGTCAAACCGGCCATAGGCTGCCGATAATGTTTCAGCATCCTTATAAATAGCGTATCCCGTCTATAGACGAGCTTCGGCTGATGGACTGGAACGAAAGCAACAACAGGGTATCCCCTAAGATATCTCCCAAGTAGAAACGGCACCAGACTTCCCAGTCGTGATTAATTTTAGCTCGGAAGCGCCAGAGAACCCAAACCAATCTAAACCCCAGATAGCAACGTATCCTATCCATTAACTATCGAAGTGAGGATGAAAATAGAAGGAAATTTCTGAATTATCCATCACCGGAGTTACAGTTTGTTTTCCTTTTGCAGAGTGCAACATACCAGGTCCAAAAACAAACGAATCACTGATTATCAGCAACTAGATGGGGATAGCGATCTAAGCATGTGGGTCTCTGAGGATGATAATAGTTTTTTCTAACAAGGGGGCTAAATATTCAAGGCGATTTGATATTACACTACTTTGTACCGGCTAGATTTGTTGAATTATGTGGTTGTCGAAAAGTAGTGCTGTTGGTCGTTTTGGAAAAACACACTGTCTTGACTGGCTAATATCACACCATGTTTAGAGGCATGTTTCCGTCATCGGGTGTGATCAATTTTAGCTTCAAAGCATCTGAAGATAACTTTATTGCATCAGAAAAATAAATGAAGGGCAAAACGGGCAGAAAGAAGTGGTTAAAGCACTTTACTGTTTTTCGATTTTATTAGGCCAAAGCGGTAGAAGCTGTCAGTCACAGATTCAGTACTGCCGATTCAGGACCCAGAAGCAATAGGCAAACGCCTGATGCCTTTGTTGGCAACAGCAACAAATGACATCCGCAAACTTGGCCATAAGACTGATGAGAGTTAACGCTTCACCTGAAGTCATTCAAATCGGTGCGTTAGGCCAATATGGTGACAGTGGAACTTGGCAGTCCTAACTGGGCCAACTGGTCTCTAAGCAATACGTTGGAAGACGTCAGTGTGAATAGCTTGTCCTTCGTACAAAGTTAAGAAGAGCATACGAGTCATCGCCTCGATCGAAAAATCGAACATCTTTTAATATCCCCGACGATGCAACGACAAACTTACTTATTCAAATGCATCAAGCTGGTCTGCAGTTTCTATTACCAAGAATTCCCGATCTCAGGTACCACCACGGTTTTATCGCCAGAAAAAATCGTTTGTGGGAAAGATAACACCGGTTTTACAATCGAACCGTATCGGAAACCTTATAATTAATACAGTATGGAGCAGAAAAATACTCTGATGACGTGAACGTCCGTCCAAATGAATTTTGAGTTAGTTCCTGTGCAGCACGTTTGGATGGAACCTCATTCCGACAGAGAAGTTAGGGAGTGCTGCTCTCCCCGAAAAAAATAAGAAAAAACATCAGGTGCGTTCACTAATGTGTAGAAATGCGAACTCCGTGTCTTGCCTGCTGAAACAAGTTTGGTCCGGAGGGAGTCGGCATTTTCACCGAGGATGACAAACAGCCACTGCAACGATCAAATAGCCGAATCAAGTAAATAACTGGACAGTCACGCAAACGCCATCCCTTGAAAAGGAGCACTCTTTCGCCATTTTGACCTTACTCTGCATGAATCGATTGAAACGCTGTCACTCTTTAACCTTTATCATTATTACTAATGTGGATTTCAAGGAACGTCTGCTGCTCCTAGTCTGCTCAGGTGCCAGGCTCAAAGGATGGTAAGCGTCTCAGTACCAGTTGCAAGTCACTTGCATCAACTACCAGCCTCTTATAATGTGGAAACTGCCTGTCCGAATCACTCTGTTGGTTAATGAGGTGTGCATTAGTGGTGATTCTGAAAGAAAGTCTGTGGACTGTTCAGTGCTCCTAGGCTTTTCAGCATAGGCTAACTGCATTGTCTGAGTCGTGTCCATATTCCAAAGGCATGAAAGCATAAAACAAAGAGCGTCGTGTTGCCCAAAGAGTGATTTAAGGCTAAGAANTGTTGCCCAAGAGTGATTTAAAGGCTAAGAAGAACAGTCTTTGAGAGACGAATCTTTTTGGCCCTCCTGTTACAACTAATAAAGTATACCTGCATAAAACACTCACATACATGCCTGCCATACCCTTACCTTACACAGGTCAGCAAAACACAGTATATGCACAATGCAACGTGGTATGATTCCGAAACATTCAGTAAACCGATCCAAGTGAGCTGAAATGTAGTACTGCAGACAAGCGCCCGTCATCTTTCGTATTTTCTTTAAATGAAGTTGTCTGCTGTAATAGAGCGAAGGTCTGTACTGGCAAGTAAGGTGCTTATGAAGGAACATCATCGAAGGCGGAAATGAATAACAAGGTGTCTGAGGTAACCAGTAAAACCTTATCAATGTTATTCTATGCGGCACAACCAAGACACTCGGTCTGTTGTAATTCAACGGTAGTAGCATATTAATGCCACCGAGATCCCTCTTTGAAACCAATGAATAAAGGCTTGAGCTTACTCTCGGACGTCAACTAACTCGCATCACTAAGGAGCTTTTACATTGAAGGGATACATTCCCATGGAACTGTTTTAAAAGGTAGACTCCAAACTGAGGGGAAGAATAACTGTTCGCAGTGTGCTTTTGCTTTTGAGGATTTTCACTTTGGAAGCCTTGTTCCCAAGCATGTGAAAATGATGGCGCATTATAGATGACCATTCTCGTTAGCGCATGAAATTAAAAACCGTGATTGGTTGTGTTCCTCAAGCTCTGAATGAAATGCCAAGTGGGTGGTCATCTAATTTTGTATGTTGTAGGAAGGTTCAGTGTTTCTATCCGAGGCTTGAGCCGAGAATCAACGCACCACTTTTTTAATGCATCAATCCACTTTGAAGGATTCACATTCGAAGCCCTCCGAACAGGACCTAGAAACTGCCAATCAGCCAAGATAGAATGGTCAGGCACTCAATCAAATTATAGGCGCGCAGTTGAAAAAGTGATACAGTGTTGACTTGAGAGAACCGATCACAAACAAAATTTCGAAACATCCTCATAATTGAAAAAAACTGGATCTGGGAGTTTGGATCGCAGTACAACGCAAATAAGGGGGATTAGGCCCTGGTCAATTTACCGCCAAGAATCGTGACGATGAGCAGAGGCTGGTTTTAAAATTATTGGCTTGGTAGTTCTTCAAAATAATATGCAAAAATTTCGCTCATATCATATTCCAGTAGGACGAACTTTATGCATTCCCAGCTCATTCGTGTGCTACTGTTGGTTACGATTATTTCTAATGATTGGAAATTTCTGCTTCCTCCCTACGTAAAATGTTTTAGTTAAGAAAGATTCCGTTTTCGCACTTACTGAGTTTTTCAGCCTCAGTGTCATGCTGTCACTACAGCGAGAGACTGAGTAAAGAATTTTGATTTATAAATCTTGGCCAACGTCTGGGTTACTTATCTTGTCGAGCTGAAGCCTTCGTTAATTTCAGGTCACGTACATAGCAGTCACGTACGATGAACTTTTGGCTGTTCGAGTGGAACAAAACGCGCAAAACCCGAGTGTATCCTTCTACTCGCGAAGGGTGCAGTGATGCGTTTTTTTTCAAATGCTTATCTACAGTCCGGCAACTTCTCGCACCCAACAAACTGGTTCTAAACCTTTCAAAGATGGTTCCGGACGTGTGGTCATCTTCACACAATGACAGTCTCAAAAGAAAAGTCCTGTCAGCGAGATAAGCATGATGGCAAATGATGCGAGTTATTTTACGAGAAAAATTCACCCTTCCCGGAGCCAACGAAGTGACGATTTCTAATTCCCCAAATAGCTGCCGCATACTGCCAGATGCAGCATGACATCATGGTGCCGTTAGCTCTCACTGGCTAGTAGACTGGTATGCTAAACAATTGGTAGCATGACTATTTTCAGTAAATTCTCTTGCAACATTGTGGGGACATTCTTGACTAAACCCAACACGACTTGTTCGGTAGCACATTCGGGATAAGAATACGACGCAACTGGCTTGAAATCTTCAAAGCCGCAGCGGGTATTTTAGAAGCGAAGTTAAACACGCGAGGAAAAACGCAAGGTGTATTACCATCACTCGATTTTATTCAAACTATCGTTGCATTCGTTTTTAATGCTGAAATAATCAAGATAAGTGATCCGTTTTTCCCCTGCTTATGTGGCGGAAGAAATTTAAGGCTGGTAACCCGAATGCAGCTATGTTTTTGATAGAAACAAGTAGAAGATAAGACATTTTTTCACGCACTCTACGCTGGTGGTCCTTGTCAAGCTTGACCTAGTGTGAAATTCCTTTTCAAAGAGAGATAAAACTCACAAAGAGGACAAAGCGTCCTTTTCCGCTAAGGTCTACTCTCCATAGAGTCTACTACTCCATACGTTCAATCAAGCTCAGTAATACAGTTCAGTCATAGATATGTTGGAGTATAAGCCATTTGGAGCGATCACACTGAAAGGTTGATTTCTTCGACCTTTCAAAAAGCATCTGGGACGGATGAAAGTCACTAAAACTGATTGACTCTTGTAAGGAAACCTATGACACATTTAGCATTGGTTACTTGTCTTCCGGCGATCTAGATGAACAATGATAATTTCGGCACCGTTCGAATGGTGCTTCCGCATTAATGACGTACCGGATACCTTTGAAATGCATTGGTAAACGAAGTTAAGGAAACCGCTTTCGCGGTCATTTACAGTTTGTAACTGCTAATCAGTCTTGTAGTCAAACCATTCACCCCTTAAGCATTTCCAGCTCTCCTGGCTACCTGTCAGAAAATCTAACTGTTATTCCACCTCCTGTGCATTCTACGCTTCAACATCTATCTAGCCACTAACCTTCCCACCCTACAATCCTGTCTGATAAAACTTGTATGGGACTGGACTATCTAAGTGAGATGGCAGTTTGTCTCATAATCTCGATTGCTGTCACCTGGAATCCTGGATGCACATTAAAATCCTTACAAGTGTTTAGCCTTGTTGCTCGCTAGGCACTCGTGAAGTCCCAAAGAGAACCGTGGCCCTTGACAGATAAGACACTCATCTCTAGACAAACGTCATCTAGTAGTACTGTATACCCTTTTTCAAAGGAATTTTGAAACCACTTGTTTCGGAACGAACAACTCAAACGTATGCCTAACTATTCCCATTTCGTCTCTTTAGAGTGCGAATTTGACTGATCTATGGGCAGCTGAAGTACACCAGGTCCATCTCACCTTCCCATCCGCTGTAAACTATTAGCCTTGGGGCAACTATGCATGTATTTTCGAACATACAGCTAAAGTCAAAAAGACCTTGAGAAATTCCGCTCTGAAATTTTGAAAGATGCACAACCACTAACCTATCGCCACTTTCCATAACAACGCAATGATGATGCCAACTCGATTGGTGATGAAACGTTTGCAATCAAATTGTCCAACTCAGCGACATGTTCGTTTGTACACAGAAGGTGGTTTGTTTTTCGGTGTCGCCATCCGGGCAATGCTATGGGCCCAAAATGCCGTAGATGAACTAATGATCTATTGGCTTCAGTCATCTGCCCAAAACTGGTGGTGTGAACTTGAAATTTCTGAGCATCACTGCAATCGGCTATTGGTTTGACCTGACTAGCTGGATACTGTGCTCAGGCCACCGTATGCAGATAATAATCATGGCAAAATTGCTGTTACACGTTACGAAGTTGGAAGGGGTGACTGACGCTGACAGGAGTTGACTGTGTTGACAAAAACATACAGCATGCTATGCACTGCTCGCGGTACAAGTGCCAGTGGTTTTCATCCGGCTTCATTTCACACAATACAAAGTGTAAAGAAGTCCTACATTCCAAAAATGACGAAGAACACACCAACATATAAATGTACCCTAAGTGCTGGTCGTAGCGAAGTCTGTCTCCTAAGTGTGTTCCATAGTTCTTGACATCCGTAGAGCGCGCTGCGCATGACTGACCAAAATCGCTCTCAGGTATCCGTTCAGTTCTTTTTGTTTGGTAAGCAGCTAATGTATTTTGCACACCTGGATGCGCCGTTGTTGTACATGTAAAAGCATTATAACCCTCCATGAGCACACGCGGTGGGAATTTCCTTAGGACTGAGGTGAATACAATCTGTATGACTTGGTATGGCCATGAGCGATTTATACATAACCACTCTCTGCATCGCATGTCATGCCCGTATTTTATGTTCGGGGGGACGTATGAGCAACTATTCAGTGGCTGGTGAGAGTGCCAGCTGAACGCATTTTTCTGTACTGAGCATGCGTTTTTACGGTTTGCTCTAGCGCCTCTGAAAATACAGCGTGAACCTTTATGCATGGCCCGCTTCCGACGTTTCGTGATTAAAGGGTTTCTTTGATGTGTTTTAAAATACACTGTGAAACGTTGTAGGCCACCTGATAGTTTGCTTGTGATGTCGTCGGTTGATTGCTAATTGGTCATGTCAAGTCAGAAGATTTTGCCGGTATTCTAGAGATGAAATGGTAGGACCGTAAATCACCGTCACTGGACTAGCAAGAATGTTTTTTACTGACGCTTTAGTTCGGAATAATGAACAGATTACTTCATGATGACATTTGGAATATGTAGTATGAACTGGCCTTAACTAATGTGTTAGATACGACCGAGGTGCCTGCAACCTGCATTTAGCCACATCATATCTCACTGATGGGTCTTGACCAAATTGTGCTCGTATGTAAGTCTACGATTCCACCATAATTTGTATCACTCACCGGTAGTGGCGATGATATCAAAACCAACAAAGGAGTAAAAGCATGTTCCAGCTCCTCGAAGAACTCCGGAGAAACCGAATGGAAAAAATCCCCCGTCTCCAACTTGAGACCGATTCACCTGGTTCAGTGGTACCTGAGAAAAAAATTAAAAAGTTTTGCTAAAACTGGTTGATTATTATTGGAAATTTGCGGGACGAAATCTGGAAAAAATGCATTTCAAGTACCTAACCAAACAAGAAAACAAAGCTTTGGCGTTCATGGGTATCGGGTATAAGCTTAGCTGTTATGTAGCGGTTCCCGGTCAACAGGTCATTCGTTTTTTTGTTTTAATACGCCACGTCATGTCGTCATGATCTCCCCATATTCTTGAGCGTTTGCAGCTATCCCCACCCTTAAGGTTAAAAGAGTCCCTGGGTTACCGCTTGCTTTTGTCCAGCGTTCGTCAGTTTCCTGGAGAATAACTGATTATAAATAGTATCGCTTGCTGTTTGCGCGCTGTCTTGTGTCGAGGTATGTATGCATAGTGGTATCGCTCAGCGAAAATTACGGAATAATTCTGTTAACTTCACATTTCGAATTGTTTCTTGATTATTTGGTCTGTGTTTGAACCTCTGTACGACCTCAAACGCCCACCGAATTCAGTTATTTACATACTACACACTAGTTGTCTCGATGTTTCAAGTCTAGATGAACTCTACAGGGCATACATTTTCAAGGTGCCATTTTACACGACCGTGAGCTTGCGCAGCCTTATCACGAGCCTGTTTGTAAAACGTAGCGTGAAGTGTTTCTAATATTTTTAAAACAATGTACTATGGCCCAAATCTGTACGTTTCATGCTTGGAAACAGTTTTCATTTCCAGTTTTTAGTTTTGGGTAGTCATCTTGCGACCGACCGAAATATGCTGCGTACATTTTTCTCCTTTCACCAGTATTGTATCCTTGATGTTAAAGTGAAAACTTTCAAGCAGTTTTGTGGCGGATGGATAGTTAAATTCATTTGTTTGGTTGTTGACGCAAAAACGACGATATTGCATGCACATAACAGCATGCACGCCATCAAAAGTTCTGTCGATGGTAATAAGAGAGCCATTAATTTTCCAGTAGAAAGTCTCACATTTTACCTCAGCCTTAAGAATTTTTTCGCTCTGAAGATAATGTAACAGGAGAATTTATTGGACACTGTTCATCACCACATAATTAAACCCCAAACTGAGGAGTATATCCATATTTTATGCATAGCCGTATTGATGCTACGATTCTCGTACTGAACCATCAGAGTTTATTTAAGATACCAGCGCATCTCTTTTTTTGTTGCATTAATGTTCTGGAAGTTTTATCCCGTTGACACTCCTGCGAACGAAGAGAGTTGAACGTCAGTCTGCTATGAGACGCGAAAGCAGTAAATCTTTCGATATAACCTCCCGCATGATGGCGTTTCAACAGGTTGCTACTTTTAGCTTGAAGTGCACGTACTCTTTCTTCGGCCCTCGTGGTAAATATGTGAAGTCCCGACGTCCAATAATGGAGATTATTAAGATGGTTATCAAGTCCATCACTGCATACTGGAGCAAAGATTAAGTAGATCTTTACCAGAGCTTTGCATCTTTGCATGCTATGTCCAACTTCTCTACAAGTAAGCTCCGTCATACTATCTCATCCCTCCCCCAAAGTCAATTGAATACCGCTTTTCCCCCTTGCGAAGAAGGAAGTGACAACTACTGGACAGCACGCAAAATCTGTTTTGCTTTCAGCGATGGCTTTTGTTGTTCAGTGTTGTGGGTATCGCCAAAACATCCAGTGCCCAAACCCATCTTTGTTTTGAATTCAACTCTTTAGGTACCAAAAAATAAGTCCCACTTACTACGTCGGTGACGTTTTCTGGACATTTCTCGAAATAACTGAATCGTTAAGACCTAGTTGTTTGAATACATGCAGTGGAAGACATTTCATGCATACATATCTTTGTACGTGATCCATGAAATCATAGAAGTTACTCGTAAACAAATGACACTGCAGCAAAAGTTGTAAGATGTACTTTTCACATTTTGACAAGTAAACTAGTGGAAGAAACGTGGAATGTTCTAGATTCTTCCCTTCAAAATGTACCACACTACCTCCATACCTGTCTCCCTTTTTTCCCATCCATTTTGCGAAATCAGACACTGTATGACAGTCGCAGAGGACGTGTGGCCTTCAGAGTCGAGCGCAGTTTTATGTACAGCTATAGCAACTCCGCTAAAGGAAAGTCAGGCATCATAGCTAGGACTTCATGTACGGTATGCGCACTTAAATACTACAAGTGTGAAGTAAAGCTGTAGGTAATGCTTTTCAAATGCAATTATCTTACAGTTTTCAAGTTATTTCGACAAGCACTTTTTACTGAACTGAGGTTTGTTTTGATCAAGTAGTCAAACATTAAGAGTTCCTTTAATGTAACGTACTTTGGGACCAAATGAACACTCAGAAAACACTATCCTTCACTTAAGTAGGTAGTGACATTTTTCGGCGATTAGTTTTTAATTCAATGCTTCAACAAAATCCTTATCTTATAGAATTATAGGGGGAACTCAGTTTAGTTTAGGGATGTCTTAAAAAGGTTGCAAAAGCGCGGCGTTAGTGCAAATTTTGAAGGTCTTAGAGATTTGCCGTCGTATTTCGTCTGAGAGGGCGAAGAATAAACTTCACTTCTCAAACAAGAGTTTTTAGATTACACTAGCCCGTCAAAGCACTGATGTGAAATCAATCGAATCTGGAACGACAGTCGCATGGGAGTAAATACGCTTCGGTCGTCATTTTTCCAGGAATGTAACTAACAATGAGATTGTGCAGTCGCCTTTTTGTTGCTAGCTGAGATGGATTACGCAGATAACCGGCTAAACGTTTTCAAATATGAAGGCTGTCTAGTAATATTGATCGATAAGCGGAGGTTCGGGGCACATGTGTCTCATCTCTTAATCTGTCCTACTGAAAGGAATGAGGAAAGTTTCACAAAAATCCAGTGTGTTCCATAGGAAATTCGGAATGGCGAAACTTACGTTATCCGGGTCAATTCGCCAATTGCTTATGTCCACGCGAAATAGGCCGGTGATGGTGACGTAAGATATCACACCCAAGTTGATAAGTGTAAACACGTTGTTGAAGATTGACGATTCCCGTGCTCCAAAAACAAGGATGGCTGAGAACATTGAGAACCATATGTAGCTTGTTTATACGAACCTACTTGGTTCGGGAGCACAAATGTGAAACGAACTGGAACAATTATCGTAAACGTCAATTTCGAGTGGCTGAAATACATTCATCAATCCAGGTTGGAGTATCCAAAAGCCTTTGATTTTTTTCTTGAGTGTCCGAATGCTGACAAGACTCAGGAGCTCAGCTGAACTTGTTTACTGTGGACCTTGATATTTAAGTATATTACTACAGGTGATGGTGCAAAAAGAATAGTGCCCAGTTCCATCCTTTGCAATCAATATGCCGTCGGTGGGAGTTGGTTCAACGCATGAAGTTCCTTTGAGTCTTCGCATCACAGAAAAAATCGATGCACATTTGTTACCATTTAGCCAGTCAGATGAATCGGCTAGCAATAATTGGTGAACCGTTCATTGGATATATTTTTTTCTTGTGGCAGATAACCGATTTCATGTTTGACTAGTCTACTCGATGGTGTCCCGGTTTCGATGGACTGAAATTTTCACCCATTTCATTCCTATGGTAGACAGCCTATGGTGATGAACAGTAACCGGTGAGTAAGCGAGAGATAGTAGATTTAAAATTGAAATCTGGTTTAACAAAAAATAAAACAGAAACTAACGGATTACTAGCCGGACTGCAACAGTAATGTCGGACCCCATTTAAGCAGTGTGGCTTATGTTTGTTCCATGTAATCATTTATCTGCTTTTCTTGGTCTCTCAAAAGAGATTTCTTCGGTATCCTAGGAAAGTGCATGCAGTACAGTTGCCAGGGAGCTGTCTTAATGGATAAAAACTCAAAGCAATTAATTGGAGATTCGTTTTGTTTTAAATTTGGCTTGATAACCGTAGTCACCATAGTTACCTTTCGGAAAATCTTTAGAAGCCGACAACTAACTACTCATACTACACAGTAAATTTTTTGAACTTTTCATTTCGAAACAGGAGAGGCTCTTGTCTGATGTCATCCCCTGTAAATGCCTATAGAGCATTCAAATTTCTGATTATTTGTCAGTGAGAAAATCGTTTCACGCTTTAGAGAAAGCAACTTGGAAATTTATTTCAAATTACGAGTTAATTCCAGCATTATTTGCACTTCCGGACGCATCAAGAAAACCTGTGTTTGGCCGTCCACAAAATATCACTACAACCATCGAACCATTTTAGAGCAGTTAGTTTTTCCTGCATGTCTTAGCACCGAAAAGCTGGTTTGTCAATTTACCACTTGTGCTTGAAACTCAATCTTATTGTTACCCTGTTATTTTGTTCTTCCTGGGGTTTATATGATATTTGTGGTGGCGTTGGTCTAAGGTGAATTTAATACGCCGGCCTTCTGGTGCAATAACGGTCCCTGAATAACAACATATTTTATTACTGTGGGTTCATTAGAATGGCACATCTAGTATAAAAACAAAACTTGTAGCTCTCCTCAAAGACGCGTCGATAAACATTTATCCATAAAAATGTAATTATGCAACATTACGGCATACTTTTTGTTGAATTCACCAGAGGGCTGACTTCATCTCCGTTTATGTTGACGTTTTATTTAGGACGCTTCCAAAGAAAGGTCAATATCCGCAACACACCTGATTGTCCAAGTGACATCTGGCCCTCAATCTGATCGATTCTTGCGGGTTTTGTGTTGCGTCGTGGTCTGAATATTGTGCATGTGCTTGGTTCGTTAGGTAGCTTCGGTCCAGCAGTCCTGTTCCATTATTCCGATTGGCCCGTTCTGCTGTTCTTGTGTGTTTTGTTTCAGCAAATCCTCACGGCATCCTCAAACAAACAGTCACGATGCGGATATCGACTTTTCTTTAGAAGTGGAATTATCACCCAACTAACCGTTCCCTGACAGTGTCTCTTGCATGGTGACGTAACGTTTGTCAGTCGATTACCAAGCTCAGTGAGCTGATCAACTTTCCGGTGGTCAGCAGTCATTCAAACCACCCGAGCTATCACTATTTAGACACATTGCTATTTCCTACCGTTTCTGCAGTCATTCAGCTCAGGAGGTCTTCAACGCGTAATACAACCTATGCTTTAATGCGATGTGGTGGAAGTATGATATGATTGAAACCCACAGATCAATTGGGAGGGCATTTCCGGGTTCTTTGCCATTCCCCCAACTGAATATCTGTACGTGATTTGACCTGAGTGTGCCTTACTGAATCTCTTCGGTGTATGTCCTCATCAAGATCTCACAACGTCAAATCACATACACCCATCCATACACTAACAAACTCACATGTATATGTGTGATCCAACAGATGATATCTGTTAATCGATTCAAAGCATTTGATCAAAAGGTTCCTACACGTTCATTGATGGTGGAAGCTGAACTCCAAGTTATTTTCGAGGCCTCCACGGATTCAGAAGCACGAAGAACCATTTCGTGCGCCTCAGTTTCTTTTTCGAAACATCATACTACTACCTCGGTCCATTTGAAAACCCCTGCAGACCCAGCCCAACCGGTGTCAACCAGGGGGAGTAGCCAAACTACCTTCAAAGTAGAGCAGAATACTGGGATATTTCCAAACAATAACCTCATATATTCATTAGCTGAACAAACTAGTTTGTACAATATATCCGCCTCACTGGACTGCGAACTCGGGCAGTAGTATCAAAGAAAATGTCTTGTTCTCATTGTGGACAGTCTAGCAAAAGCAATGTCACAATAGGTATCATAATACTCATTTCAGATAGCCCGTCAAATACAGAGTAAAGCTGAAATATCTTTTTGTGAGTCAAGCTTGTGTATTGATTACTTGCCGAAATTAGGGCTCTGACTTTAAGAGGGTAGCCCAGTCGGTTTTACTTCTTCCATATGACCATTCGGACGGTCGACAAACAATAAGAAACAATACTCTCAGCTGCAAGACCATTTTGTGCTTAGCTGCCGTTCCACCGGAAGCACGAGGGTTGAAATACCACCAAGTTGCTCAAGCCTATTATGGAACAGTTACGATGTTGGAGTCGCGTTCAAACCACGTAGTTCTCTGAGTATTCTAGAGTAGTATAACTATTCTATCCACTAATCCTATTTTACTGGTCAAGTGATCTGGAGTATACATAGTATTTGAGGGTCAAGTCAAGGTTAGCTGTGAAGAAGAAAGTTTAAAATTCCGAAGCGGGTCTTCCAAAACTCGCAGAAACAATGCTGATGACGGCGATTTGGAGTTACTCAGGAACCACGTGAAACGATGCCACAAAATTCATAATACAAGATCGTCCAATGAAATCTTTCAGCGGGGGAGACTTTCAGACTTTTCAGTGCTCCAATGAAAGGAGTTCGAAGAGACCGGAAGACCTCAAAATGCGGCCACTCACGTTCGAGTTTGCAACTCTGACCATCAATTATTACTGTGCCGCAAAATGGGTTAGTACGCAACTTTACGCTTGTCATTTTTTAGTCTACCGAGACGAATTTCTCAACAAATTTTGTGGTGTAGTGAATTTGAGATCACTTGAACTTAAAAAAATTAAATAGTGTTCTCCAACCCTCCGTTATGCAGATCACCAATTAGCATTTTCTTCTCTGGTAATAAAAACATACTCTACCGTAAGCTCTTTCCGCTACATGAAATATGCACTTTGTGTATTAGACGTAACAAGTACAGCATTCTTCCCATCGGCGAAAGATTGGAACAGACTCACGATCAACAAGGCCACTCTCGACATCAACACACGGGAAGATTTACGTTACATATAACGTAATACGTCGTAATAATACGAATAACCATCATTGTTATGATGTGTCATACGATTTATTCAGAGCTAATGAATACATTATTTCCCAGTCGTTTGGCAGAACAAAATTACTCATTCACTTGTCTGGACCTTTACCCTCAGTCTTGCGCTATAGAGCAATAACGCCATACCGTAATTCATTCATTTTGACAGCCTGGTTTCGGTTGTAAGATTGTTCATTCGGATGTCATTCGGATTTGCCTACTAAAGTATGAAAGTTAATCAGTGCTTTTCTCGACAACCACTGGAAATGTCACATTATTTGTATCACTAAAAGGCCACATGATTCCAAAAAATCAATAAATTGGTTAGATTATAAAGCCTGTCAGAGTAGTGACTGGCCGTAAATTTACTTTCCAATAGAATTCTGGTTGATGTCTGGTGGTTATGAGATATATTTGATATGGGAAGACCAAGAGTTCACTATCTGTCAGGCACTGTACTTTGCTCCCCGTTTTCCTCATGGCAAGCTTCTGTTGCAAGAAGAAATTTGGTGACAAACATGCAGTGAAACTTCCTAGGAACGACCATTTACATCAAACGTGCCTCAAAGCCCTCCAGTGACAGTCTGACAAGAGAATTATCAACTATCTGTGGATGACACTTCCGTTCTGACAAGGTTTGAGAAGATAATTACAGAGAACCCCGTTGTATTTTGCTGGTTCTAATTAACATGTGTGGTTATTGAAAATAGCATTAGTTCAAATGAATTCACCTCAAAATTTTAGAAAACCCATTCGGGAATGGAACCACTGATATTTCAGTAGTATCTGCAGATCTTTGTACTAGATTTTACAGCCAAGAATGAGTGACGTACTAGTTCCTCCGGATTACAGAATAGGAACCTTAATGCCACGACTGAATGACCCATGGACTTGGCGAATGGTTGTTTTATACCATGTACGACATTAGCGGACACAAATTATACTGCGTCTTATTCATTGCACCGGAACATTTCGTCTACTTTCAATAGCTGATCCCTAAGCAGTGATTCTCCCATTTATTTTCAACATACAGTTTTGGTATCTATGGTTTTGTTTTCTTACATTCTAAAGTTGGAGGTATTAGCAGCGAGCTGATTTTGCGATGGAATTTTCCATGAGCTCTAATGAGTGCGCTTTAACTAGGTTTAACCCTGTATTGGTTTTTAGTAATTAGGTAACCATTTTTTTGTCAAACCACCTGGTACCAACTAATCTGAAGCATGCATCTCCGTATGTTGCGAAAAAGATGGCAAAAATTATCCGCAGAAGTCATTTGTTGAAATTTTCAAAAGACCGAATTCGGTGTCTTACTTACACACAGTCTCCTCACAATCTGACGAAACACAGGTTTACCATTCCAACCCAAAATAGCTGAGTGGTCTATTTGTAATGTACCACTCACAATGTTGCTGAAAATCCATCAACAGCCCACTACCAGTTTCGCCCTTCTTGGGGCTCATCAGGTAGGCGCAGTCAACGGGTTTCCGTCAACCTTATGTTCTATTCGAAACCAAATTGCACGAAATTAGCGAATATACACTCATCTGCAAACTAATTTGGTTCTCTCCAGAGACTCACCTGGAACCCGGCTGAATGTGAGTAGTACATTACAAATATATAGATGTATCGCGATATTTCAAATATCGTAGCGACTGAAACATGAGGCGGCCTGGTGCAGTACATTCAGTTGCCTGAGAACATCATAAGCGAGAGATTCAGCTGGGTTCCAGGTCAGTCACTCGAAAGAACCAAATTAGTTTGCAGATGAGTGTATATTCGCTAGCTGAGTGGTCTATTCGATTGGGGAAGAAACACAACAGGATATTAAGTGAAAAACACTCACGGGTTTTTAGTTCAGTATCTAACACCAAAACCTCAACCAGGGCTGATTTTTATCATACTTTCCGCCCTTGAACTCACCCGTGACAATGGATGTAATTCCAAATGAGAACAAATCCACGTAATCCGCAAAACCGGGAACATTCATTGACATGTATTGTGAGAAAAAGTTGGAAATCTTCTTGTTGATCAAATCATCAAAGTTCGAACTCCATGCACGAGCCACACTGGAAGTACCTAAAACGAATAAGATGAGTTCAAGCAGGTGAAACTCACTTCTTAGTCACGGTGGAAAAACTTCAAAATGAATTGGGCACAAGGAACGGAAAATGGATGAAAAACGCCATATGAAGACCTGTACACCATGTGAGTGGATGAAGCTACGTCTGGTATAAACTAACGGAAAAATGCAACACTGAAGCCTTTTACAGAAAAATGCAAGTGCCGCGTCAGTCGCACAAGTAGCATTTTAATCTAGACCGTACTGTAAAAATCGTGGATAAGGAGACATGGCGGTATTTTCAAAACTGAACGATGCATACTTAGAAATTTGCAAGTCACATTCACGGAATAATTAAAGTTACCCAGAGTACCAAGGTCAAAGCGGTTTATAACTTAGCCGCTGCTTCAAGATGATGCTGTGTGGTGCTGCGTGTGTCGGCTGTTAGGTTGCCGGAGCCTTTGTTGGCAGCTCCTAGGTAAAAATGCGGAAACGGCGGCACGATCACTGAGCACAGGAAGCAGTGTGTTTCCACTGAGCTAGCATAAACAAATGTATTACTGAAAGCCACATTCTAGTTCTCGGGAATGAAATTGGTCGTTTATGGAGCCACATGGAGCTATGATATGCCACATCCTGATTCCATTATATCCCCTCACACTATTGTCATAAACCCGAAAATCCCGATCACCTTCTTTAAACGCCGAGGTTTTTAGGCTGAGGAAGAGCTAAAATATGGTAGAAAAATGCACTGGTGTCGTAAGGATTTCTGGATCAACGTCTTCTAGGACTTCATAAAACAAATCAGCTTTATCGGCTAACACGGACGGTCTTATTTTGTAGAAACGTTTATCATTACTACGTTGGGGAATGCAGTAAGCAAGCCGGGCCACCGTCTTGCAAAAACTGTTTCCACTTTGATAACAGGTTTGAGAGAAACAAGTCATTACGTGAAAATATAGAATCAAGGTTCTTTAAGGTCTTTTCACCTGCTGTTTGCCTATGACTAAAAACTCCACAGAGTGTGGCTCTTATTCATTTCCCGGCGGAGGTTCGTTCGTCTTTGCCTGCTGGGCTCAAAAAGTAGCTGGACCAATTAGAGAGAAGATGCCCCATTCACCTTATTCATAAGGCTGCATACTACTCAAAAGTGTAGTATAACTCACCCTGGAACTCTACCTCTAGAGATTTTGCGTATAAATCTACTTCTAACTTGAAACGTCCGTCTTAAGAGAGTGGGGCAAAATAGTAAAAGAAAAATACTTAGATCAATCGATTGTTCAGTGTTACCTGCTTTGTGTAACTAACTTTGTCTAATTAAGTCAAAGCGTCGAAAAATCGCGCGGAAAAAACCTCTCATTTTATCGTCAGTGATCGCTTCTAGTCATCTGACATCCTGAAAGGAACTCGGCTCCAAATCTTGTCACGAAATCGGCCTGTAAGCCCCCATTTGACCGCGTTAATTTCCTCGATGGGAATTTCCGCACAAACGGATTTGACAGCGCGAAGTACAGTGCAAGCATGGCCACACTGAAAAGTAGGCTTCCACTGAACCGATCTAATATTGCCCTGCTTTTTTAGGTGAAAGTGTATAGTACGCCAACACGCAGGAAATTGCCTTTTAAACAAGCGATTTTTCGAGGACAAAATACCCCTGTTCTCAAAATGGTTGATTCTCCTCTCGACTGGAGACTCAGCACTCTCACTCAAATACCCCGCAGGACCATACATCGTTATAAAGCAGGCAAGTAGAGAAAACGAAGAAGAAAATCCAACTAGGAAACGCACTATGCTGTGGGCTCAGATGCATGACTTGACTATCACTTGGGAGTTGGTTATAACTTGATTTGACGTGGCACACAATTCTGTCATGGATCCGCATACAGACCCGCTTTCTGGAGCACTTCACACTGAAAATACCAACCGAACAGATGAGAGATAGTGTGAGGCAAAGTTGAGTGAAAGCGCATCCTTCAGATTTACAGTGCTGATCAGTGTTTTGTTTGATGTGGCATTCGTTTTGTCGGCTGATGCTGGAGTAACCTTGAGTGTCACCGACCTCTCTCAGTTCCGCCTTGTTAATCTGACTTCAAAGAGTTCCCTGTTTCTTGATTCGTTAAACCGGTAGTTATCTGAAAATTCCGGTCGAGATATTCGTCCTTCGTACGTAGCGGTGCGCAAATAGGATCACGTTCAATACAGACTGATCGAATACATCATACGTCCAGAAATTCCCGTCCATAACTTGTGTCTCCGTAAGCCAAAATTTTTGCGTTTTCCAGAGTGGATTTCTGGCCTTCTTGGTCTTCGTGTGTAGATATCAAGGATAGCGGGTTATGTCTCCTGATGGCTGCGTTGAGTTCCTTTTTCGCGTGCATAATGTCTTCTCAGTTTGATTAACGTAGAACTTAATGCATTTGTTTCATTCAATTTACTCTACCGCATTGTTCCCCTTGGTCTTGTCTTGGTTGTACTTCGGCTTTGACATCAGTTTCCTTAAATTGGCATTCGATTTGTCGACAACGCGGATTCCTTTTTGAGCAAATAATCGTATTGTGAGTTCAGATATATTCTTGATATATGGTCTGGTCGCTTGTCCTCGTTGGTGTTCTTGCTGCCAAAATTCCTTGAATACCCATTTTACTGGAATACTGTGATTGGACGGACTCATCTCTTTTTTCGTATTTCCCTGTGATTGCCCTCTTGGAAAGAGTTGAAATGCAGCTCTGCATGAAGTTACTCGAATTTTTACTCTTGTGGTTCAGTATTTGACACGTGTCTCCTTCCGGTATATACAAACATTCAGAGTTCCATCCACTTTTCTGTTCGTTAAAAAGTCCAAGAAAGGTAATCCGTTGTACCTTTCTAGTTCGATTGCGAACACGATATCTTGAAACCCAGTACTGAGCAGTTCGTGAGCACTGTGTAATGAATCGCGTTTTTTTACAGAAGTGTCGTCAGATTTCATTCCTCATGGTTCTTGGCTGGTTATCTCGCTGCTTGCATTTTCATAGGCATCATGTTGATTCTACTGACGATGTTTGTAGTTGGGCCGTGAATGTCTGAACCGGACGTAGTTGTGTAGCATCTGCTTGGATTTGAGCAACAGCCAGTGAATATCCAGGAAATTTCAGGAAGACGCGTTCATGGAGAAGATGGATATTCAGTTTTTATAAACAAGATGCATATGAGAGTTTTGCTTCCATGTTCACTAGTCTATAACTGTTCAGTTGGCATTTTCCAATAAATAACTCCGCAGCGAAAGCCTTCTTCCTTTCACCTATAGTTCTGGTTACTCTCTCGTCCACCATGAGGAACTTGAATATTGTCGTGATAGCGGGAGATTTCAATGCGTAGTTAGCACGCGGTGGTTTATCAGAGGCATACCTTCGTGGCAGGCAGTGATAATGGTGAACACTACTTGCAACTTTGTACCGCTCACCAGTTGTTTCTGGGTGCTAATGAGTTCAGACGCAGTGGGCGCAGTTGTGCTGTCTGGCTTCCCGCTGCCGCTGAGCCTTGGCGTCAAACTGACCAAATCAACATAAACTACCGACGGCACAGTTTGGTTCCTGGTTGTCCCTTTGTTTTGGAATATGCAGGTTAGTTTACCAAATGACCTTGTCTGGTGCGGTTTTTCGCTAAATTTCCCTGCCAAACTCTTCATTTGGCAGTAGAAAAGAACTCAGAGTTATGAGATAGGGGAGCACAAAAAAGTTTACTACGCACTGAAATGTAGCCAACCTCCTAGGAAGATATTAACCTCAACTGGAAGGAGATGACCACAGCTGGACAGGAAATTTTTCGGATCACGTAATCGGAAACCACTGGATCTCAAAACGGTCCCAACTTCTCCTCAATGCGGGGTTCCATCCCATCCATCTCAGAGCATAATACAGTCAAACGATCGACTAGATGACAGCTCAAACGGGGCGAGCCTGTAGACAGAGATCTATGGTGGAACCAGAAAGTTTAAGAAAATGGAACAGGCCACTGTGGTTGGGAATGCAGCACACAAGCTCTTCCAGTTAATCTGAAAAATAGGACCGAAAAGGTCTTCCGTAAATAGCTTAGTCATCCCATATCGTGCAGCTGAATGGTTTCAACAACAGTTCAGTTGGCCAACTTCCCCCTGTACCTATGCCTTTCATTCGACTCGCCCATTTTTGGCCGTCGTCTATAAGTTTAGGTCCACCAATATGCTCTTCCGCCTTAAAAAGTCATCGTGCCGCTGGGGCAGTCAAACCACTCTGGCGCCATACGGGTAATCTGTGCCATGCTCTAACTATGTTGCTCGTGTATGTTTAAAAACAGCGAAGTATTCCGGATAAGGGAAACCAATTATTGATCGTGATCGTATTCACAAAAGGCACTCGAACCGAATTTTGCAACCAAGGAGGTATAAATGTCACGTAGCTCCTAAGGCGCCTCCTGAATTACTTTGCGGCACCATGCCTATTTTTGTCACGTGGGGAGCAAGCCTAAAAGCATCAAGCAGGATTTTGACCGGAGACAAGGTACACTGACCGTACCTTCACATTAACTCGAGTGCTTGAGCAGTGCCGCATGTAGCACAAGCCAACAATCGCGGTTTTCCTTGACATTAACGAAGCCTTCGACTCCGGTGGACTGATTCATCTAAATATTCTTGGTCGGAAGGAAATTATCTTAAAGTTCATGACCAGTCTCCTTGTCCTGTTTCCTGGTCGAATAACGGTGTAAGAAAAACCGTATAGAACCCCCTCGTTAACAGTAAAGCTCGTAAGGGTTATTTCCACAATCCTTTTTGTTCAACTTTGTCGTGAACTTTATTATGGATTGCACACCTCACGGGAGCATGAACCCAGGTGCCAGAATCACTTTTGGGGAGAGATTAACGGGTCCTTATCGTGCTAACAGCACCATTATTTTGTCCGACGGATGTTTGTCCACAAAAAATACTTTAACTAGAATTTCGTTATGCGTTTCACACTTCCAGTGTGGAAAAGTATCACTTCAAGATTTTCCATAGTCTCGTCCATCTCTGAATCTTCAGGATGGGAAGTTGAGTGTTTGTTA